ATCTATTCTGCATTATGCCTGTCAGTATTGATAAATTTTGAACTCCCAGTCTATCCCTTCCCACCCACCTCCCCCTTGGCAACCACAAGTTTGTAGTCTGTGTCTATGAGTCTGTTTCTGTTTTGCATTTATGTTCTTTTTTTTAAAAAAAAAACATTTTTTTAAAGATTTTAAAAAAAGATATTGTGTGTAAATATACATATATATAATGGAATACAACTCAGCCATAAAAAAGTGAAATAATGCTATTTGCAGCAACATGGATGGACCTAGAGATTATCCTCCTAAGTAAAGTAAGTTAGACAGAGAAAGACAGATATCATATGATATCACTTATGTGTGTAATCTTTAAAAAATGATAAAAATGAACTTATGTATTTCAGAACAGAAACAGACTCACAGACATAGAAAACAAACTTATGGGTACCAGAGGGGAAAGTGGGGAGTGGGGGTGTAATAAATTAGGAGTTTGAGATTAGCATGTACAAACTACTATATATAAAATAAACAACAAGCTTCCACTGTATAGCACAGGGAAATATATTCAATATCTTATAATAACCTGTAATGGAGAATAATATGAAGAGGAATATATACACGCATAACTGAATCACTATGCAGTACACCAGAAATGAACACAACATTGTAAATCAACTAATCTTCGATTTTCAAAAAAAAAAAGAAAGTCCCCTGTAATTGGGTGGAAAGAAGGAGGAATGGGGGCAGGTGTGCGAGTCAAACATGTCTATGCAAGTCCCAGTTCGGAAATTAATAAAGTAGAAAGTGGAAGCCTGCTCTGACCGTGGTGGACTTAGAGTTGTCTTATTCTGTTACTTGAGACATTTTTTTTTTAATGTAGCTTTTTAGCACTGTTGACTGTCAAAATGCCCTACTTTTCACAAAGCAATTTTTCACAAAGTACTTCTGCAAAAAAGGACGTGTCTCAGCAGGCTTTGCAAAGTAGAGGAATAACAGAAGTTAGACACTGCTGAGGATTTGGGGTGGGGGATAGCAGGATGTGAGGCTGAAAATGAGACCGGACCACAGCATGAAAGGCCAACTTGAATGCCGCCCTGAGCAGCCCCTAAGTTTGATATCTGGTCCCGTGTCCCAAAACAAGAAGAGAAACCCTCTCTCAAGTCCCAAGAGTAAAGGCTATGGCTGGGGAGGCCAACAGGTGTGGTCCTGGGGCTCTGAATGGCCAGGAGATGGTGTTCAGCGTGAGCTCTCCACAAAGAAAACTCGGTCTCCAGGCTGTTGATGGAGGCCAGTTCTTACTACTAAGAGCATTTGGATGAATCTGAATTACTGTGGCTGGATATTAGCAGAAGAGGGTCTCAAAACCATGAGGACGGGGCCCTGTTAGCTTTGCTGACAACGTTTAGCAGCTTGCAAGCTCAGCAAGCCTGCTGGACTCCGAGCGTCTGGTTGCATTCTGCCCGCATGAGTGCAGCAGAAGTGTGGCCGTGATGGTTGTGGGTTTCGTATTTTCTATTTAAAGATGTCCCTTAACGTGCCATTTGTGAACAGAGCCTAGCAGTGGTCTCTGTAAGGATGCTTAGATGCTTTGAGTGTGGTGCAGATGTGAAACTGCACGTAAAAGATGTTTGAGGCGAAACGGGGCACAGTCATGTTAATTTAGGTTCCAGCCATGGGGTTGCAGCGATTTGAACTTGGCCCTCTCTCCTCCCGGGAACTGACAACCACGTGTCACCCTGAGGACGGCATTCTGGGCTGCGTAGTTCATCATGGCCAAGTTTACGTCTCCCCTCTGACTGTATACACCTACATGCACGTCTGTAAAGTAAGCAGAGGAGCCCGGGGCTCGGTGATTAAATCAGTGCCGGCATTCGCACTTCCAAACCAATTCCTTTCTCTCCTCGAGGCTACCCTGGATTTTCCCCAGATCATCCTTGGATGTCACGGAGGTGAGAAACCTGAAGCCTTGACCTCGGGTTAATGCTTTAACCATGTTTACACGACCGATGAAGGGACCTTAAACGGGGTCTAGATCCAGGTCATCTGATTTTTTTTCTTCCTAACAGCGCACTGTGATAAAATACACATACCATAAGATTTACTCCTTTTAAGCATAATGTTGGAAGAGTATTGGTCGATTTATACAGTTATACCACCATCACCACAGCGCCACCCTGGGCATTTCATCACACAAGTTCATTTCCACTCACCCCTTCTGTGGGCAGCCCCTACCCTCAAGTACCAGCCTCAGGAAACCACTGACTGGTTGAGATTTTACTATGCTTGTCTTTCTGTGACTTAGTTATTCAGATTTTTTCTGCTTTTAACCAGGTCAGAGTTATAGACAGCTAACTTCCATGGGCTTAAACATGGCTGTAGCCAGTGCAGAGGTTAGTAACGTGGAAATGAAAGTTTCATAATGTGACTCACGCCCTCAGTTCACGTGGTCTGTGGCTGAGGTTGCTCCTCCCCAGGTCTGGTCAGTCCAGACCCAAAAGTCTCCTTCAGCCTGAGGGCTGCGCCCTGCCCTGGATAAATAAATAAAAGAGAACGTTGCCTTTTACTCAGAATGATGCCACTCATCTGTATTTCTGAGAAGGATTGTCCTAAAAATTATAGAGTAGAGATGGAGATTTTACTGAGGGAAATGCAGTTTTTTAACATCCCTCAGTGAATTCTCACGTTGTGGTTTTTCATGGCAAGTCGGCATGTCATTGACAACTGGAACTGTCAGATGTCTGCTCATTCTCGACTGTAGGCAGCCAGCGAGCTCAGCCTGGAGGACTTTCAAAAACTGGACCCCTCGTCTCCAGGCCTCATTTTGAGAGAAGAAGGGGTTCCTGTATCTTTGATGAGAGAGCCACCGGCCCTCTGCTTCCCGGTGGTCCCCACCCTGGGTGGACGCCATCTAGACCTCGCCGCATCCTCCTCGCCAGCCCAAGCTGGCTCCTGGCCCTGGCACTGTCGGTAGCAGAGAAGAGGAAGGTCTCAATGATTCCTGTCTTGATCACAGCTCCGCAAGGCGAGCTCTCCTCCCAGCATTTTTCTTCTGAGCTTTGAAGCCTGGAAGGGGAAGGAGAGAAGTGGAGGCACTTCTGGGTGGAAGAAATGATCCTGAGGGCTTTCTCAGGGTGTGTGACATCTTTAAACCAGTTGAGACAACAGAAGACGAGGAATTGCTGCAGCTTTAGACCTTTCCAGGGACATTTAGAATATTGTCACTTGGGATCGACTGACTGCACCTGCTGTGAAGGAGGGACAGGAAGCGGGGGTCACAGTCAGAAGCTGCCTTGCTCATGGTCTGGAGAGTTACATGCGAAGCCTGAGCTGGGTCCCTTTGCCAGAATGGAAATGGAATGAAATTTCGCTCCTCGCAAGTGAGACTTCTAAGGAGGAACTTTGGCAGCCCGGGAGAGTCGGGCGCGGGTTTCGGCTCCATCACTCACCTCTTTCTGGTCCTGAGTCAGTCCCTAATCTCCTGTCCCGGGTGATTTGTAAAACCAGATGCTTGGGATGTCATCCTACAGTGAAGAATTAGACCCTTTGTTCTCTAAAAACTCTTACTTATAACCCTCAGGCCCGGGGTCTAGAGACAAGGGTGTCTGGTACACGTGGCCCCACTGCGTGCCCTGCCCCGCGTCCACACAACCAGGCTTACGTGCCCATGGGTGTGGGGGGTCAGCGGCTTGGAGGCCCCGTCAGGGCGAGCTCTCCATTCAGGGGCTGCTCTAGGTCATCACTAGTTCCTGGCTTGGCTTTCCCGCCGATTCCGCACGGAGACGCCGATTCAAACGCTTATTCTCGGTAGTGATGCTTGTCAGCTGCTCTGTGTGTGCGGAGGCTGGGGTGGTAGGAGTTTGGGAGGCAATCAGACCAGGTGAGCCTGCCAGCTCAGCCCTCTTCCTGGGTGTGCCACGTTGAGCCCACAAAGTGAAGGCGCTCAGGACTGTCTCGCAGGGTGTCATAGGTGTCATGCCGGTGACCTGAGACAGTGACAGTGCACTCCCGTTTTCAGACGGCCAGGCCAAGACTGCTGGATGGGGCGATGGGAACACAAAGCACAGTGATGAGGGAGAACTTCCTCCCAGGGGGTCCTGAGGCATCGTGTGTCCAGACTGAGCCGGGGGGAAGACTGGAGCGAGCGGGCGTCTGGTCCACGCTCCTCTGTGTCTTGCTGCGTTCCGCTGGGCTAGTGTACTTGGCCTTCAACGGTCATTTCTTGTTGATGCAAAACAGTAACGTGCAGGGGAAATTGTATACAAACCCAGGGCAACTTCCTTGTTGACATGGCATTGTTCCAGATCACGCTTAATTTCCATCCCAGACCGTGTGAATCTCATTACCCCAACTGGTACATAAGCCCTTTCTCATCCTACTAGACATGAACCCGAAATAGGAAGTCTTTGTTTTTTAATTGCGGGGAAAAGACACATAAAATTTGCCATCTGAATTGTTTTAAACGTGTAGTTCAGCCCTGGTAAGCATATTCACATTGTTGTGAAACAGATTTCTGGAATGTTTTCATGTTGCAAAACTGAAATTTGACCCGTTAAACAGCAGCTCCTCACTTCCTCTCTCCCTAGCCCCCGGTGACCACAATTCCACTTTCTGTTTCTATGAATTTGACTACTCTAGCTACCGTCTATCAACGGAGGTCATACAGTGTTTGTCTTTTTGTGACTGACTGACTTCACTACGTATAATATCCCCAAGGTTCATCCACGTTGTTGCATTTGTCAGGATTTTATGAAACATGAAATCTGAAACATCTTGAAGTATGTTTCTTAACCCCAAGTTTATTTCAGCAAGTTTCGGTGGGATGGGAGGTAGGAGGTGGGGGTCCTTCCTGCTTTACTTGTGCGGTGAAATAAATTTTCTTGTTGAGTTTCTCTCTTTGTCATGTGATTCTCCCAGGTTTTTCCTTCAAGTTTTTATCATAACAGCTTTTTTGGTATATGTATATTTTTACTGAAGTATAGTCAATTTACAATGCTGTGTCAGTTTCCAGTGTACAGCACAGTGCTTCAGTCATACATGAACATACATAGATTCATTTCATATTCTTTTTCACCATAAGTTACTACAAGATACTGAATATAGTTCCCTGTGCTGTACAGCATGAACTTGTTGTTTATCTATTCTATGTATGTGTGTATGTATATATATATATATATATATCAGTTAGTATCTGAAAATCTCTACCCATAATTTATCCCCTCCCACCCCCCTCCCCGACTGGTAACCACAAGTTTGTTCTCTATATCTGAGAGTCCGTTTCCTTTTTGCAAATAAGTTCGTTTGTCTTTTTTAAGATTCCACATATAAGTGTTATTGCACGGTGGT